TATGTGGGGAGGCTTTCAGTTTTGTGGGGGTTCCCCCCCCCCCCCGAGAAAATTCCCCGGGGGGGGGGGGGCCCCCTCCTCCAGGGCCCTTTTTTTTTTTCCTCCGGGGGCCGAAGCCCTGGAAAAATTTTAGGGGGGGCCCCACCATTTTTTTTTCGGTTTTTTTTGGGGGGGAGGGGTTTTCCCATTTTTTTGTTTAACCCCAGAAACCTTTAAAATTTTTCCCTTTTTTGAAATTTTTTTTTTGGGGGGGAAGTTTCAGGTTTTGGCCCCCCCATGCCCGGAAAAACCCCCCCCCCCCCCCCCCCCCTTCCCCTGCGCACGCTCCGTCCGACGCTGTGGTGGTTTGTTCATGTGTCTGGCTTGCGTCTTTTAATTGTGTCATGCGGCTGGTGCAAACCGTCCGCAGGCTACGTTCCTCAAGAAAGAGCTCCTGCACTCGATGCAGGCCATCGACGAGCTCTTCCAAGCAAATCAGGCGAGTGCGGGCGCTTTGTTCACCGCAACAGCATGTTGTAGCGCCCACAGCAAGAACTTCGCGCTTGCTTGGGGTTGTATGCAGGAACCTTTGACTTGATGATGAATGCCCGACATGTTTACACATGTCGGGGTTGTGCAGGGTTAAAGCGAACACCTGAGGAGTACGCGCGAGTGTGCGGAGTGATATTTGTGCGTGCGATGCCTGTTCTGGCCATCATATACGCCACTCTACCCCCCGCATGCGCCTCAGCGATGAAACGCAAGTACCTGATGAGAACTTGGGACAGAAAATAGAAGCACTCAACGTTGGACGCCCGTGTAGGCTAGAGAGGCTCGGAGCTTGCTTAGTTTGGCAACTCGATAGAATTGGGGGTAGAACAGACTCCCGGAGTTTAAGGGGGGTCTATACCTCCATCTCGTCAAATCGCATGGCATTGATTGTGCAACGCGCAAGTTGTCCTTGGTAGGTGGCAACGCTACGTGTCCTGCAAGAATCGAGGCAGATTGCGCGTGGATTTATCCGTTGTCGCGCCTGGGCACTTACACAGTCATACGCGTAAGCGTCATCGACTGGACCGACGGACTGATTGATTCGCACACGCGCGTTTTGGCAGCTGTCAGGCGCCACCAGCTAACCTCGTGGACTTTACAGCGATTATCCCAACTCAAAAGCCACATTAGCAGCCCCAGCAATAGACGGTCCGTTTTACCCGTTCTAGCCGGGCGGATGTGTCTTGCGCTGCTGCTGCTGCTGCTGCTGCTGCTGCTGCCACTACGAACCCGCAACAGGTCACCCTTAGGCTGATCAGCGTCATACCGGCAGCGCTCCTCCTCTTCGCGGTGGCCAAGGTGTCCGGGCCTTTCGTGCACGCGGCGTCCTCCCGGCGGCTGGAGCCCACGACCGCCGTCCACCGATCCATGCGCGCCTCCTTGCGGGAGATCGAGCGGCTGCTGACGTCAAGCAGGCAAGAATGTGCACCAAGCACGATTCGTTTTGTTTCCTTTTGCTGAGGCCGACCAAATGTCCGTACACCTGTTCTGCTACTTCATGTTAGGGCGTAGACTGCGGGCATCCGCACCCAAGTCCCGAAGCAGCCCTGAGGTCGCACCTCGATTTCTAGTGTTTTACGTCTTCGAGACGAGCACGGTCGGCCTGTCACCCGGCTTCATGCGGCGAGACGTTTGGTGAGGAAAAAACTCCCTGGCTGCGGTCATGGACGGGCGGACGAAGACGTAGGGGATCCCGCGCACGTGCCGTTTGCTATTGCTGGCACGGCCTGCAGTTGCCCAGGCTCACGCTCGTTTTCCCGGTGCGGCCACGGCTGTCAACTGTTGTAAGCCACACACCAGGTGCATTGGGTAGTCAGGCAGCCGGTGGATTTCGAACGCCTACTGTTGTGGGTGTCTCGGGTATTTTGCGATGATGTCGTGAGTAAATCTTGGAGCAAGGTATGCAACAACGACCGACTTGACAACAACGACGTGCAGGGGGTTCGTGGGAAGCCATGAGCCCGTCGGAGAGGAGGCAGAGGGATTCGCAAGCCGTGGCCTCCTGCAGGACGAAGAGATGGGAAAACTGGCGGTGAGGGGGCACGTTGACTGCGAACTATCTCATGTCTCACTGGAGAGAGTAAGAGGCTTGCGGGATACATGGTACCATACTGTACATAGTTGCTGTTATGTCATCACGACCGCACGTTGTAGCCCCCTTTATTTCTTCCTGGGGACGGCCAGAGGATGTCCCCGGACAACCGCCGCCAGCACGCGCTGTTTATTGTACGCGTATTCATGTGTGTTTTTCTTCGTGCATGGGATATGCCAAGACTGGCTGACAGCCAGGAGCCTCACATTTATCGGGGCACACGCTCGTTCCATCGTGCGCGCATGGGTATAACTTTGGGCGTTATTCGTCCGCGACGGGGCGAAGAATAGTCAATCGCCAGAAGTACTTGTACACCGCCTCGTGTCCAGGCCAGAAGGCAGTACGCGAGATATCATCATCAGGAAGTTTTCAGCACTTTCCACCATTGTGACTAGTCCAACAAGCCCCGTGCCATCTTTTGGCACTGACTGGCGACGGTGTATCAGGTCAAGAATTCTCGGGTTGGCTGTCACCCTATTTTGCGCGACCCTGTACAGCTTTCTCCGCGGCCTTCCTTCGTTTTGGCTCCGGGCAGAGTCTGCGCGCGATTTTTCTCATCGGTAGACCCGCTGAAGATAGGTCAAAGGACACCCTCCGCACACCCACACCCCGGACAAAAATAGCCTCCTCTCCTGCCGTACGAGCTCTTAGTGTAGGCCTACTCGTACCGAATAATGACGACATCCGTTGATTCTTCGGGCAAACGGCCCGAATCAAACACATGATGTATGGTAACAAGTACACCTCGCTCTTCCCCGTCTGTGATAATTTGTTTCCGATCTATCGAAAAAAGCTCCACATGCACGAGCTGCAGACCACCTTGAGGCAAAACGCCTCCCGCTTCGACTCCAGGGCGAGGAGGAGGCTGGAGGAGGACCTCACCGACCTGATGGCGCGGGGCCGCCCGACGGTGTCGCAGCAGATCGCGGTGGTGCACCGCATGCAACGTTCGTACCCGTTTCTCCGCGCGGGTGGAGGAGGAGGAGAAACGTAGGCAGTGAAATTGTTTTTGTACCATGCTACGAAGATGAAAGCGGTTGCGATATTTACCTCAGTGTATTAGCATACAGAACGCGTCACACTTGGAGAAACTGGGAGTTGAGAATCTCAGGCTAAAAGAGAGATAAAACCCAAGAGGTTGATCTGAAGATCAGGTGCTCAGTTCAGAATCGTAACAATAGAACTTGTATGCCATGTATCTTTGTTGGGTTATGCCCATAACCACCCAAAACCCACAGAGGAAGCAAGAACAGAGCCTCGGGCAAGAATAAGAGGTTCTCAATTGGTGACGCTGACGTAGGAGGAGCGTGCGCGCGACATAAGAAATGCGCCCGGAACGGTTGCTTCTCGCGGATGCAGTGGTGGAGGGTGGTGAGGAGGCGATGGCAGTCAGTGAAATTGAGGTTCGAGAAGAAGAGCCTTTTTACGTGATCCTGAAGTATAGGTGAAGAGAGGCTAGAGGTTACGCATAGCAAGATATATATGCATAGAATGGAGCGTGCTCTTCTGCGATTGCGTTGACGCGCTAGATGCAGCTGGAGAAGAAGCACCGTTAGCGAATAGGCGGCCGGTGTGGCCGGTTGAACCCTTCATTAAGGCCCTCCCCGCCGCACCCTTCGCAGTTTAGCGAGTTCAAGAGGGCGGGTTATTTCGTGAGGTACAGCAGCAGGCAAGCAACCAGTTGTGGTTGAAGAGGAGAGCGAGAGGTCGGCGATGAAGCAAGAGATTGAGAGGCCATGATGACTTCCCGTCCGTAGAAGCGTGCGCTGAAGGTTCTGCGCAGACGAGGAGGTGCCGTGAAGAATAATGCGTTCGCTTGGCGGTAAAGACGCGCTCGGTTGGTACGTAGAGGAGGCATGTGCCGGGGAGGGTGTGCGTGAAGAATGACGTCATGGCTCTAAAGTAGTGCTGTAGCTGTATGTAGCACCCGACGTCCGTCCCTAAAAACGTGAGCGAAAGGGTCCGCGGAGGCGCGGGGGGGGGGGGCAGGGGAGGGTAAGTCTCGCGGCTGGAAGAAGCTCAGCCCCTCATTGCGCTCTGTCGTATTTGATCATTCGTTGAACGTTTCTCTTCCTGTGTTACAGTAGGAGGAGCCGCTTTTCGTAGTCGGTTGGTTTGGCGGTCGGCGTTTGTTTGTGTGTTTTCTTCGCAACCCCCGGGCGTGTTTGCCGTCTCTCTTCGGGTGGCCAGGGAAGTTCGCGGTGCCGCAAGATCAATTGACTATGTGTGTTACGTGTACGGACGTGCATTTGTCGGGTGTCTCCCAGGACAGGAAGAGCCGTGTTAGGCTGGTTTTAGAAACGAGTTGTCTTACAAGATTGTGCGTCATGGCACTTGAACCCGAGCCGGAGCTTCGATTTTTTCTAAGGGTGAAGCCGTGTTTAGGGCACGCGCGTGCGTGGGGCGGGCGGGGGGGGGAGGCTGTTCGATTGAAAGGGTTCTTATCTGTTGCCGTTTTGGGTGCGTGCGTAATCTAGTGTTGTTCGATGTTATTTAGTGCACAGCAGTCTTGCTCTATCTGGCTGTTATTACTCCAAATGTCGACGTAACTTTAGCGCACCTTCTTGGGCGCCATCTCATGTAGAGCTGTCAATCGAAATGATGAAGAACGTGAGAGGCTGCGTGATTGATTCTGCAACAAGTCTTGCGATTACAGCAGTACGTACAATAATGGTTATTAAGGCGGTTTCTTAGCCGATGTTGTGAGCCTCGACCCCTGGCGGTTTCTTGGCCGATGTTGTGAGCCTCGACCCATCATCCATGTTGACTCCCTTCTTATCTGCGGGCCCGCAATTCTTGCCGTGGGATTTACATCTATGTCGTCTTAGCCCTCTCTGGCCTGATGCCGCACACACACAAATAAATCCCAACGACCAGAAATGGCGTCCGGGGGCGAGAGAAGAAAAAAAAGTCTGGGTGGGTCTCGGCACCGGGGGCTATGCATAGCCCTCTCACTAACTCTGTACGCCGGATCGCAATGTGTATGTATGTCTCCTGCAGCAGTAGTACAAGTATACGTCCCTGAATCCTGAATCCTCTGGCCAATTTGTTCTGGATTTTGGCCCTCGTGTGTGCATACCAGCAAGAAAAAGATGAGATGAATTTGTTTCTTATCCCATTTTTCAACGAACGCCTCATCAAAAAGGAGGGGATTCATCTGTTTCATCCCCTCGTTGGTATTCTGGCATCTCTCACGCTCTGGCGGCCACCTCAACCAACAGAGAGAGAATTTCCGACAGCACGGGAACATCTAGAGAACGCCACCCCCTGCCTAAATCCACTCCGCTTTTTCTCCTGCCAGACGCCGTTCGTCTCTGGGTTTGGAGCGCGCACGCGTGAATCTCCGACGTGGCGTAATCGGGCTCTCTTTTCTCCCAAACGGTGAGTTGAATTTGTTCTCCCTCCGACAAGGTACAACCTCTGCCGCTGCGTGCGGTCACCATAGGGCCATGGCCGGAGTTGTGGGTCGCAGCTGGATGGCGGTTGGGTTGTACAATGTACAGTCCCAGCGTCAGCCCGGCGTGAGCGCGGGAACGTACGACAGGGGGCGGCTGGCCTTTTGGAGGGAAGCTGCATGCATGCACGGCAGGAAAGCTGCCAGGAGGGAAATGAGAATTTCACATCCTGCTACAATACAAGAGAAAGATAGATGCTGCTGTGAAGGAGGAGCAGCAAGCAGTGTAGACGTTGATGGGTCCGCCGCGTATGTGTGCACTTGTGGCCGAGCATGTGGATGTCACGGTTGACTCTGGCTGACGCCACCTCGTTGGCCTTCCCTGCCCTCTGTGGCGTTTTCCTGTTTCTCGAACCCTTTTTGCCCCCCCCCCCTGTCTCCCCCTCGTGTTCTTCGCCACTCTCGCTACCGCGTCTTGTCAGCAACCAAACACGCTCTGCCAGTGACGTTCGTTGCGCCGAAAAAATACTCGGATTGCTTGATTAGCGCCTGGTGGGACGGAGCAAGCACCACTCTGCTGGAGCAGCAGCAGAGCACGCAAGCACACAGCCTGCAGCAGCAGCCGCACCATGTCGCGCTTCCTTGAGTATGGGGTCTTCGTGCCAGATCCAAGCAGCAAGCATGGCTCGACCCAGTCTTCCCAGACGGCGACCGGGCAGTGGGCACAGGTCGGGGGGAAATGGTGCAAAGTGGGTCCTGATGGGAAGCCGCTGAATGCACCGAGCAAGTCGTCTTTCTCGCAGTCCTCGCCCATCAACATGGGCGGTGGTGGCGAGGGAGGGGTGGACATAGACGGCGGGGGAAGCTCGGCAGCCGAACCCTTCTCGCAGACGACTGGCGCGATGGGCGACGGCGCGGACTGGGGGCACCGAAAGCAAGAAGAGGGGGATGATGATGATGCCTCTGCTGATCTTTACAGCGACGATGATGGTGCTGGTCTCGGCGAAGATGGCGACGACGGCGAGGCGAGCGGGTCAACAACAACCATGCTGCCTAAGCCGAGCCCCTCCGCCACCGCGGCGGGCGCGGCGGCGCCGCGAGCAACCGCGTCGTCGTCGCGAAGTCGGAGCGTCTTCAATAGCCAAGGCGGCGAGGACGACCACGAAGACGACGAAGGGGCCGCGGCCGGCGGGGGGGGCGGCGGCAGCGGCGGGTCCGGCAACAGCGGAGGGCTCACTGTCGCTGTGGACGAGGCCGCAAGCGGCACCGGCCCCGCCGGCGGCATCGACAGCATGTCCAAGACCCTCCCCATCGCCGTGGAGGGAGGGTCGGCCTCGCGGCCAAGGGCCATGCTAACCCCGGGCCTGTCGCGGTCCTACAGCACCGACGAAGTCGTAGGCAAGTTCTTCGGGGAGGACGCCTCCGCGGCTGCGTCCGACATGACGGCCGCCGCGGGCGGCGGCAGCGGCAGCGGCAGCGGCAGCGGAGAAGGCTTCGGCGCTGGCGCGGCTTGCGCGGGAGAGAGGGCGCCCAGCGGTGACAAGGGCGAGGCCAAGGGAGGCAAGAAGGCTAAGCACGCGAGGAGCGGGAGCGGGTCGAGCAACACGGCCAACAGCCCCGTCGCCGCCCGCGCGGGCAAGAAGGAGGAGAGCGAGCCGGTAGAGACGAGGGACGTCGCCTGCCAATGGGATGGAAGTGAGTTGTTTCGTTTTGTGCCGAGTGCTCTGCGCAAACAACAGTAGTGCGGGTTGTTTTGTCTGGCGGTGCGTTCGAAAGCATGGAGGTGATGGGGCGGGTCTAGCAGCAAGTCTGGACTCCCGAATGCACGATGTGCGCTGCTACACGTATTTTTCTTGAACGGGTAGTCTTTCTGTGTTAATTGATCTATTTTTCCTATTTGGACTAAACGTTTAATGGTCTGTGTATAAGATTGTGGAAGTTTCTACTCCGAGAGTGCATATAGGCGAATGGATGGATGCATGACCTGATGCTGGTCTGGGCGGACCGGCCTTTCGAAAGGTGGCGATTTTCGACGTTTCCATGTCCCTTATTTTGCCGAAAGCCAATTTGGGCTCTGGATGATGTCTCCACCAACAGCAATAATGTTTTGCCTTTGTTGCCTCTTTGGAAGGTACCTTCGTTTGCCCCAGAGATCCTACACACGATCTTGGAAAATGCGGCGTGTTCAATCAAAAGAACAACAGCAGTGTTTATCGAAAGAACAAGAGGGGGGGCTGCACTTCTGTTGTGTTTTTCGAAATTTGGCGAAACAGAGAGATTATATATATATACTGTGGCATACCATGTGGAGCGTGCGGGCCGTCAATTGTATGTTGTATGTTAGGGAGCACCTGCTGCATTTCCGGGTAACCAAGAAAATTCTACAATATCCCTACCTCTAGGTTGTCTTTGTTGCATACGTCTACGAAGAGACTGCTGCTGTGAGATGACCTCGCCCACAGACTGCACAGAGCAGCTATAATTCCGAGTTTTGTTACATTTCACCCGTTTTGCGTCCATTTTACCGGTTGACGGACTTGACAGCAGGAGTTTCAAGTGGAGTAGACGCCCGTCCCTCAAATCGGCGCGAGTACTTAATGCTACAACACGAAACCTATTTTTTCTACAGCAGTTGTAAAACATTTACACCCGATGTGCTTTAGGCCCTTAGGCTTGGGAGACGGCTTCAAAAAATATCAAGACCCGTTTTCAAATATTTGGTGAACTAGTTTGACAAGGTTGCACAGCAGCAGCTGCTTATACGAACGACGTTCCATCTATCTTACGTCAAGAACCACACCGGTGCGCGACGCCCAAATGCCGCTCGATATAGGTGACCTCAGGCATTATAATCGACTATGGAGACGAGTAGGACATGTGAGGGAATAGCTGCGCTAAAGTTCGCGGCCCCCTACACACGCTCACAAAGGCACTGATTCGCGCCCACCATGTGCTTGAAGTGTTTCAAAATCAGACCGCACGGCAGCTTCAAAGATGCTGCTTGTAGCTCACCGAACTCGATGATGAAGGATCGTTTGGAATATCGCGACCGCTAGTTTGTAGTGCATCACAAGGGCTACAATCTCAGATGCGAACATTGTGCACACGGGGGGGGGTCAGCGGACGGTTATTTTGCGGTGGAAGTTTCGTACTGGAGTTAAGACTTTGGAAAACTAAGATATGCATGCGTTTCCCGGTTTTTGGGAAGAGAGAAACTGCGTACCCAAGTGTGCTCTTGTTAAAGACAAGCTTCAGAACTCGACGGTAAGAACAGGGGCACACGTACGAACGTCATGAAACCTGTACAATCGGGTGCAGAAATTTTCTTTTCTTTTATTGAAAAAAGCATTTTTAGATTCTCGATCCTATTTGATGTTTCCAGGAACGACTTCGTCCTTGGTGCCCACAATAGTAGCGCGGGTGAAGGCGCTCGGCACATTCCCGCACCCGACTGTATGCTCGCTGCTGGGGTACCCCGCAGAGGAAGCCAGAAACGAGCCTTCTGCAGAGGAAGAGGTTGTTTAAGCGGTTTTGTGGTGTGTTTTTTCTTTGCCATGATGACAGACAGCGACAACGGTAAGGGCACCCACACCCACAAGCACGAAAACGTTTGGACGTGTCGCTTCTCCTTTCATTACAACCGCGGCTTCTGCTGTTGTTCAGGGTTGGGGGTCGTGTTGATGTTGCTCTGCGTCTTGACATGATTGGAGCCAACAAGCAACGTCAAGTGCAATACTCTCGTTTTGGGCACACTATTATTTGACCGAAACCCTAACCATCTTTGTGACGATTTTACCGTACCTCGAAACACAACGATAAAATAGGCGAGATGGGCGACGATGACGAAGAAGAATTTGTAGAGGTGGAGCTCCCAGACACGCCGGATTGCAAGGCCCTCACCGCCGTCCTTCGTCTCTACGACCACGCCAGGTGAGACGCGTTTTTTGTTCTTTAAGGTGTCCACCGTGCATTATGCATTTTTGTTCTTAAGGTGTCCACGGTGTATCATGCATGGGAACTTTGTTGGTATTAGCTCGTCTCTACGACCAAACGAGGTAAGACGCGTTTTTTATTCTTTATTGTGTCGACGTTGTATCATACGCGCACGAGTTGCTTTTCCTCCCTTTGTCAGTCTGAATAACGAGGAGGATGTGGTACGTGTTTCTGAGGCAACCCTTTCCAAAGGTAGAAAACAAAGAGAAGGCTCTTGGCGTCAGCCAAGAACGTCAGGTGTTGTTTCTAACACATGTGTGGTGTCCCCCTGTCTCAAGTCAGGCGTCTCCCGAAGGCGCTGTGGGCGCTTGTCTGCTCTCGTCCTGAGAGAGAGACCTGTCAGCCATCCAACCGCCAGCTCTGTCTGATGGTGATCCGTCAGTACTGCCATGCACATGTAGTAAGAACAATGCCCCGTTACGGGAACAAATGCCCCGTCCTCTCGAGGACGCGTGGTCAAATAGTTCATAACCAAGGATCCAAAACATGAGAGTACCCCCCCCCCCCCCACCCCTCCCGTTACCGCAGGCTGGAGAACAAGCGGACGGGGGTGTTGTCGAGCCGTCCCGGGTGGGGTGTGGACGAGAACATCGAAAACTGGGACGGTGTCTACCTGGACACGGAAGACCGCGTTGTGGCCCTCGACGTGGACGGTGACCCGGAAAATCGACAGGCGGTTCTCATCGGTGAGTGCGCAAGAGGAGGAGGAGGAGGAGGAGGAGGCGTTTTTTTTGTGAGGTGGTGGTGTTGGCAAGCGGTGCTGCTGATCGTCGGCGCTGGACCCTGTGGCGGAAGCACACGCGAGGGTTTAGAGGTCTGAGGCGAAGTCGGGGAGGGAGGCGTTGATGAAGAGGGCGTTGGGGGGGGGGGGGGGGGTCGGGCACGCGGCAATTGTTCGGTGAAGGTTGCCGTGTAAGGGTTGGAGGGGTGTTCCAGGTGACCCACGTTGGCATGAGGCCACCGTTTCCTATATGTGAGAACGACAGCACGAGTAAAAGATTTGCGCAGTTGCGAGGGTGCTTGCTTTGGCTACCGTCAAGACGGGGTCGTGTTTTCATGTGCGGCGAGCGTCGAGAGACTGGGAGGTTTTCTAGCGTCATGTATTTTTTGTTTGTTTTCGCCGTTTCGTTTTTTTCGAGAGGACGCTTGTATTTTCGCCCGTTCTTGTGTAGGGGGTCCGGTGGCATGACAACCGAAGTCGCCTCGTCTCGTTTCGTTCGCGTCCCCTCTCTCCTCTCTTTAATGTCGTAGGCCCCTTGCCGGTGGAGTTGGCCGGCATGGACCGCTTGGAACAGCTCACGATGCGAAGACATCGCTTTAAGGGTGAGTGTGTTGGTTGTTATCCTGTAACAGTGAGGAGTAGCGCTGTACGCTTTTCTCTCTCGTCTCCTTCCGCCCCTCGAATGAATGCATTCGTTGCCACGACTCGATATCACGCCATGAGCCTGTTGGCAAAATCTCATGATGGGGGAGCGGCCGCCACCTCGTGGCCTACTACAGCACCCAAGCGCAAAGTGTGTGTGTTTCCGTCCTGTTTATTATGAAGTAGCAACAAAAAACACGTACTCCGGACTGTCGGTGCGTGTTTTTTTTTTTGTACAGGGGCGGTGTTGGAATGAGACACAAGAGGGAGAGACAAGAGACAGAGAAGATGCTTCGGTGTTGCTAAGAGCTTCTTGTGTGTTGCCTAGGGTAATTGTCAGACAATTGAGGTTGGAAACCCGGCCAAGGGGGTGCGGTTGCGCAAGCGACGCGCGGTGCAGTAAGGGGTGAACCCTCCTTCTCGGACTACCAGTATGGTTTGCGTGTGGCAATCTATATCCCTCTCGCCCGTATCCCACAACCGTGGGTAATGTTTTGGTTTTTTATTCCCCGAAGCGGCCGTTGTCACCGTTAGACGCAGTTTGGTCAATACAGAGGACGAAGCATGCGTATGTTCGTATTTTTCTGTCTTGGTTTGCTATCCACAAGATTCTCTTGCATGATCTTTTGCTTTCTCAACGGAACTGCTCCCCTTTCTTCCTGTTTGTCTAACATTACACGTTCGGCCTGCTTTGTTTTGTGGTTGTACACTTTGCTTCTCAGGGCGAATCCCGGCCGAACTCGGGCAGCTGAGCCGGCTAACTCACCTGAACCTCAGCAACTGCCGTCTCATCGGTGAGATGTTTTCTTTTATTATCTTCATCATTGTCGTTTTTTTCTTGTATGGGTGTTGTAGGTCATTGTGTCTGTCAACATTGAGGTTAGGGCATGACAGCGTTCGAGCGGTCTAGACTTGTGCCCGCAATTGGTTTGCTTTTGGGCACAAGGTGCAACGTTGGTAGAGATTGTTGTTGATTGTACCAGCTCGACCAGCTTTTTACATGTCGTCATCACCTATAGGTCTTCTAGAACAGCAGTGCGCTAGAGCAGTGCCACTACTACGATCACTGCTGCTGCTGCTGCCACTGCTGCTGCCACTGCTGCTGCTGCCGTCGTCGGCGCTTTTTTTTTTTTTTATCGGCCTCTCTTGAGCGGGCTGATGATATGGAAGGAAAGGCATGTTCCTCATGTGCACGTCTGATATGAACAACTGATACTACTTGCTGCTGCAGCAGCTGCTACACCTGTTTCGAGTGGTGCGGTTGGCATGCCTTCTGGTTTGCATAGAGTACATCTGTGCAAGATTTGCGTAGAGAAGGTTCACCCATGTTTCTACGATCGGAACCACTTTTGTAACACCCCCTCGCCGCCTTCTCCCCGCATGTATTGGATTACTCGTCATCTGTCCTTGTCCTTGTCCTTTTCAGGGTTTATCCCCCCCTCTTTCGGAGACTTGGTCAACTTGGTGGTGCTCAACCTCAGCTGGAATTTCCTCAGCGGTGAGACCTTCTTTTTTTTTTCATCGCTTTGATCTGTGATATCATGTCGTTGACTGATGGCCGTGGTTCGACTTGGTGACGAGGTCAAGGTGTGCGCGAAATGGTGCAAACGTATTCCGTATGGCCGGTGCCGTTTTGCATTGTACACACCGTCGAGGGCTGCGATTTTGCGCCCCAAGTTCGGCGTGCTGTATAGGTGCTTCGGTTACTTCATTGGCACCGAAGGCGATATCATCGAGCCAACTGCTGCTGTGCCCCGTACATGTCTGTGGGTCTGACGAGGTCGCGGGCTTAGACCATGAGGCAAAAATGACGTGGAGACAGCAACAGCAACAGCAACAAGACATGTGAACAACTTCTCCGCTTTAAGGATGAGTTCATTGGTTGCTCTCGGCAGCGAGCCACGACCTCGTTCTATTTGGGAGCTCTAACAGTTTTGTTTTTTTTCGCCCCTCTCCGCGTTGATTTGGGGGCCGAAGCTTGGCCGTTGCCGTTGAAAATCTGGCCGCGGTAGCACGTGTTTGTCTTTTTCGCCGACAAAAAATAAAAATGAAGAAAGCTGTGTGACCCCTGCTGATATGCCGAAAGGCCGGTAAACCGGCGCCAGAATTGATGGGACGAGCTCATGCACACACATCGCACGTTGCGTGGAAACACGATGTCGGAACATTTGCTCAAATGTGCTTCCTGCGTTTTCGCGTGGTTTTTGTCTTGGTCGTCTTTTACGTATTTTATCTGCACTCAACGCGCACCAGGTGACCTTCCCCCTGAACTAGGAAAGCTGGCCAAGCTGGAGGAGCTCCTTGTCAACAGCAATGCATTCAGCGGTGAGAGTTGAAACCCTCTTTGAATCGAGCGTATTACAAGTACAACAGCAGTCGCTGTTATGTGTCTAGAAGTCGTTTTTTACCGGGCCGCATGGCGTGCACACACACGCTCTCGCACCGGTCCCGGCATTCGGAGTGGTTGGATGCGTCGGCCATTTTTGCTTGGACGTCAGATCCTGTAAGCTGGTGGCAATTGCAAAGAGATTTTGCGTGTGTGTTTCGTTTTGTCCCCCGTGTGTTCCGGACGTTCGGTGGATCAGTGATGGTGCTTGTCTGGGCTTTTTGAGTGCCGACGACATGAACGTGTTGCACTTGAATATTTCCAGAGGCTGCTGTGTTGATAGTCTCTCTCTCTCTCTCTCTCTCCTCTCTCTCTCTTGTCGCCGTGCATGTTTTGTGGGCTTTCTCGAGCCTTGCCGTTTGTTCGGTGATATCATCCAGCGAAGTCAAGTCACACATGCAATGTTTCAGCAAAATAAACGAAAGACGGAATCCTTGACCGTCTTCGCTCGCTACAAACGGCATGCACATGTATTTCGTCATCCCCCCCCCAGTGCTCCGTCTCGAAAGGGACGCGTGGTCAATGGTCAAATGACTACGGCAAGCAACAAATGAGTACGCCCCCCCCCCGAGTTTTGTGATGCTATTATAATTACAACTCAACGCTGCCGTCGACGGAATCAAGACATCTCCCGCACGAGCTGACGTTTTCTTCTTCCGTTACATTCGGTCGTTGTTTGCTTGTTATTTGTCGCGGCGTTGCTCTCTTCTTTGTTCATGTCCATTTCTTCTGGTCCACGCCACACGGGGGTCCCGGCGGATCTGCACCGTTTTTTTTGGGGGGGTCGGGTTGTCGGCCGGCGCGGTGGAGCAGGCGCTATTCCACCGGAGTTTGGAAAGCTTCGGAAGCTGCAGAGGTTCAATGCCGGCCACAACATCGGACTCTCAGGTGTGTGGTGCATGTACCTTTTATTGCTGTTTGCATCGACATCGACCGCGCTACATGCACTGTACTGTGACCGGTTGGTTCAATGAGATGGCGTCAGTCTCAGTGAGGCTAGAAACGGAAATCATGTGCATAGCTGCCTACGGTAGTGGTCTGGGTCCTCACAGGCTCACAGGTCACGGATGTGGATAGTCTGGTCTCCAGACAGAAAGTGTTTGAGGTGTGTGTGTGGGCGCCCTTGTTTCTTCGAGGTGAGTGTTGAACGCGTTGCCTCTGTCGTTCCTTGTTTGCCCCCCCCCCCCCGTAGGTGTAGGAACGGTGCTCCCTCTCGAAAGGGACGCGTGGTCAATGGTCAAATGACTACGGCAAGCAACAAATGAGTACGCCCCCCCCCGCCCCCATATTTGCGTACTGCTTCGCGTGCGGCGGTGTTGGTTTTGTTGTTTCAAGAGCAAATTCGGAACAACTTTTGCCTGGCAAGGAACACATGAGAAGTCTCTCCAAATATTTTAAAATTATACTCAAGTCTTACTTTCAGCTTTGGGTAAAGAATATAAAAAATATGCACACCCTGTACAACTACTTTAGTTGGTAGTTGTTTGCCAGACAACTACTCTTCCAGGGAAGTGCGCACCTAGTTGCCTGTAGACACCTACTGGTTCAGATTTGTGCGCACCTAGTTACCTGTAGATGACTACTCTTTCAGGAGCGTGCGCACCTAGTTGCCTGCAGACACCTACTGGTTCAGATTTGTGCGCACCTAGTTGCCTGCAGACACCTACTCTTCCAGAATCGTGCGCACCTAGGTGTTTACGAACAACTAGCCGGTAGTTGTCTGGCAAACAACTAACTTAGCTGGCTTATTGGTTAAAGTTGGTAGTCTGTCCTGGAGTTACAATGAGAACGCATTAACAGTAGTAGCAGTGTGAGGTCGTTTCTGCGCAGAAAAGGGGGGCAGACGAGGAAGATCAGTCCAACCTTTTTAACCTTTATCGATGTATTCCTGCCCATCCGTGTGTATCTGTGAGTGCGAGTGCGTGGGGTTGCGGTAGTGCCCTGCTGTGCCGGCAGCAACACATTGTTCTATATTGACACCTGGGTAGTCAGCCTGTCTGTGTGTGTGTGCGTGACGTATGCGGTAGTGCGGTAGTCCACCTGTGGCGGCAAACTAATTATTCTATTTTGACATCTGCCCGTGTCTGTCTGTGTTTGGGTGTTTGGGTGTGCGAATCTGTGGTTGACAATTGCCCGGGCAACAAACAACTTGTTCGTTGACAACTGCTACTCTTCCAGGAGGGTGCGCTTCTAGTTGCCTGCAGACACCTACTCTTCCAGGAGGGTGCGCTTCTAGTTGCCTGCAGACAACTACTCTTCCAGGAGCGTGCGCACCTAGTTGCCTGCAGACACTTACTATTCCAGGAGCGTGCGCACCTAGTTGCCTGCAGACACCTACTCTTCCAGGAGGGTGCGCTTCTAGTTGCCTGCAGACAACTACTATTCCAGGAGCGTGCGCACCTAGTTGCCTGCAGACACCTACTCTTCCAGAAGCGTGCGCACCTAGTTGCCTGTAGATGACTACATACTCTTTCAATCAGGAGCGTGCGCATCGAGTTGCCTGTAGATCACTACGCTTCCAGGAGTGTGCGCTTCTAGTTGCCTGCAGACAACTACTCTTCCAGGAGGGTGCGCACCTAGTTGCCTGCAGACACCTACTCTACCAGGAGCGTGCGCACCTAGTTGCCTGTAGATCACTACTCTTCCAGGAGCGTGCGCACCTAGTTGCCTGTAGATGACTACTCTTCCAGGAGCGCGCAACTGGGTGTTTACGAACAACTAGCCGGTAGTTGTCTGGCAAACAACTATCTCAGTTAGTTATTAGTTAAAGTTGTACAGGGTGTGGAAATATCCAACCGTCAAGCACACAAGGCGAATCTATATTGCTCGAGTTACCCCGAGCATACTCAGTCGGCGGACCCAAGAATAACGTACGTGCGCGTGTATTTTACACGACTCGTATACACACGGAGACCTGGTGCTTGCGGAGTACCCAAAAATGAAAATGACGGTTGTATTTGGCACTAGAAGTTGGCGTTGTAGCTGCAGCTCCATGGGATATCTACGGGCTTGCAATAGTCTCCCAGAGAGAACAGAAAGGTGTCCTAGCGTGCCCTTTCGTGCTGGTAACCCATGAGGTGTCTCGACCGTTCCGCCATCGCACAGCAGTGAACACTTTCGGAGTTCACCGTGCTGCAATCGACAGCCGGTTCTCTGACGCGCACACCCTCTTGGAGGTCTCTTTCTGGCCTGTATCGCAGGTGGTGGTGGTGGTGCTGCTGCTGCTGCTACTTCCGAGAGGGTGTTGCATCGGAGGTTGCCGCCTCCCGCATATGTAACAGCTGCGTGGCTATCATGCATCTCGCCACCTACCCGCCGCTACCCTTACCCGACGAGTATAATTCGAATATAGCGTTACAGCAGTGTATGGTGGTCGTGCATGGGAGGCCCGCAGAAATGCCCCACTGACGCGATCACATAACTGTTCCGAGGGGGCATTCGCGGAGTATGAGTATTGGTTACTTAACCATACTCGGAAGGTTGGGTTAATGCTTCAATGTACTCAACCAGTATTCACGAGGCTGAGTAAGTATTTCAAGAATGCTCAACCATGCCCAGAGGTTGAGTTAGTATCCAATGTCTTATCAACCATACTAACGCTACTCAAGTATTTGACTCGCACCGAAAAAAAGTTGAGGTAGATATTTTTTCCAAATATCCTCAACTTTCACATGAACCTTGAGTACATACACTAGTTCAAGAGTTTTCATCTATACTGTACTGAGAGTACTTAAAAAGAAATTTAATTACACAAAACTCTCCTCGGTACTCAGAGGTTGAGTGTGTACAGAATACCGGACAACATACCAGGTTTCAGCTACTCGAGTATGTCACTAAACTAAACCTTGGTATATTTTTGAGTAGTATTTCATATACACTCGTCTATACTCATCAGATGTTGCGTGCACTTTAAAGCACGGAATATGTTGCTGAACCGTATGTACTTGTACTCCGTTACTCGAGTATTTTACTAAACCTATCGTACGTCCTTGTTTTAGTGTTTCAAATATATTCAACCATATTCGCCGACCTCGTTTGAGTCTACTTAACTCAGAATACTCTGAGTATGCTTTCACCCTACTAAACACAACGCGGCTCCTCTAACGTCTGTTCCCCTTGGTCTTGTCTGTCTGTCCCGGTGGCTGAAAAACCTGCACTTGCACGATTGGAACTAAAAAGGGGCCCTGCCGCCAGAGATGTCGCGGATGACGGCGTTGACGCTGCTGGACTTGCGGCACAACAAGATCTCGGGCAAGATTCCGCAGCTGTTCGGCCGCCTCACGAACCTTCAGCAGCTCTGGCTGCAAGACAACCAGCTCACGGGTGAGATGACGGTACTGTACAGAGAAGTTGGCCGGGGGGGGGGGATATTGGGTATTGTTGGAGGAGGCAGATGAAGAGGGGGAGGGGGTAGTACAACAGACGACCAAAATCGTTCGTCGGAAAGAGTTGGTGAGTTTGGTGTGGGAAGCGAGCGTGGAGAGAGGCGGCAGGCAGGCGAAGAGGGCGAGAGGACGAAAAGCATGGCATGGCGATAGGAAGGCCTAAGGTGGCCTACTCTTGTGAAGTACGGGCCTGGTCCAGTTACCTCCAATGCTTTGCTGTTAGGTCTTGCTCAATGCCGCCAAAATGCTTTGTTGTCGGGTCTTTCACTCAATCCTGCCAATGATTTGACGTTAGGTTTTTCTCGATGCCGCCAAGCTTTGTTGTTGGGTCTTTTACTCAATTCTGCCAATGATTTGACGTTGGGTTTTTCCAGTCAATTCCGTCAATGCTTTGATGTCGGGCCTTGCTGTTGTTGCCGCACCCGCCTCTGCCGCCACCGCCGTCATGGTTGATGTCGTTGATGTCGTCAGATGACATCCCGGCCGAGCTGGCCCGTCTGCCGAAGCTGCAGATGCTCCACCTTACCAACAACAAGCTTTCAGGTGAAGCAAGCGATGAGCGGGCCTGTTGTGGTTGTTTTTGCGTCTTGCCAGTCGCAGCCGACGCTCAACGGTAAGGCGTGACGTACGTACTACAAGTAGGGCGAGGCCGAAGAGCGGTGGTAGATTGACTCGAGCTCCTCGTGGCACATCTGTTTTGCTTCATGGTAAGTTCGGGAAATCGTTTTAGGACAGAATGGTTTTTGTGGTTCACGGAATGGTTGCGTTGTACGCAGCACTTGTCGTTTACTGGGCATGGTACTGGCATAGATTCATGAGCGATAAAGCTGTTGCAGGAACCCTTCCATCCCCCTCCCCCCCGTGTACCGCGCGCGCTCTTTCAAGAGATGCTTTTCTTGCTTTTTTTTCTTGTCGTTGACCCTTGCCCCCACCCCCACGTCTCACGCACGCCGTGAAACCGTAGACTATTAGTATCCCCCCCGTGCCTCCTCCGTGTGGTTGATGGCCTCGTGCAGCGTGTGATTGCTCTCGTTCTTGGCTTGGAGGCCATTTAACAAGAACTGACCTTCCTCCTCTCGCCCCCCCCCCCCATCTCGTGTCATCACCATCCTCTCCTTTAACGCCGTCATGTATGCCCCAACCATGGACTGGCCGGCCGGTGGTCTCGTCTCGGCTGCTGCTGGTGGTGTCGGTTGGCGTCGGCCAGGCGTTATCCCCATGGCCCTGCGGGGCCACCCCAGGTACCGGGCGTTCAAGATCCTGCCGGGCAACTTCGCGCTCGGGGAGAGGGTGGCGCCCAACGAGAAAGAGGTGGAGGCGGCCGCCCGCAGGAAGCCGTCGAGGAACGCCATGGAGCACGCTTCCGGTGCCCACGTGAGTGGTTTTCGGGTATGGGTGGCGTTAACATGCGAACGAGGTGTGGCAGTACACGTGGTTGATAGGCTCACGTGATGTGGTTTTTGAGCGTACGGAGGGGGTGGCATGAACAAGGGGGAAAATCTTGCACTAAACGTGGTGGATATGCCTGTCGCCTCCAGGCCCACGTGAGTGATTTTTGCGCATTTATGTGTGTGTGTCATAGACAAGCACAAAAAGGGTGGCAATAAACGTGGTGGATATGCCGTCTCTAGGCCCACAAGGGTTATATTTGGGCGTTCACACGGTGGCGGCGTGAACACGCAAAAAATGTGGCATTAAACGTGGATATGCCACCCTCTTTTAGATATGGCCCGCCCGTGGTACAGTAGGTGAAAAGCCGAGCTGAGGGCCCCCAGTTTGGCGACTCGAATGCTACTTGAATTGATTTGCTAGATCATGGCTGTTGAGGTGTGAGGTGATGCTAGTTGTTGTTGTTGTTGTTGGGGGTGGTGGTACCGCTGTTCACTCGGCAAGTGTCCTGCCATACACTGATGGTGACGCCACTTTTGACACTGACATGCCCTTGTACTCTTGTTTCTGAGGCCGAGTCCGAACCAATAATCAAGTTCAAGAGAAGTCAAAACATAAAATCGGCTCTGTTGGCCGGAAGAGAAAACTCCGATTTTGATGTACAAGGTTTTGATATTGATTTTTTGTTTTAGAGTCTCGACTTTGATTTCAGAGTTTTGGTTCTTCGTTAGTACGGGGCCTTACCCTCTGTAACTGTCTCTGATGCCGACGGACATCGTTTTCTTGACGTCGTTTCGTTACGACTGGTATCTCGACCACACGCGGTTTTCGTAGGCCCTGCACTACAACCCTAACGCCCCCGTCCTGTTGCAACCCCACCCAACCAGGCCCAGTCGCAGCTAAAGCAGAACAGGGCCCAGCAGCAACAGAAGCGCGAGTCGTCTTCGCTCTCGCCTCCCCCGAGCGCGAGCATGGGCCCCAACGGCAGCCCCACCTCTACCACCGGAAGGGACTCGATTGGGATCCCTCGCTCGGTAAGAACACGGCCCGTGCTTGCTGCCGGGCTTTTTATCAAACGTCGGTTGATGAGTGGTTGTCAACGATACAAAAGCAGTATCGTTCTGGATGATGGCGCGAGGGCGCGAAAAAGTAAGGAGGATTCTGGGTGAGAGTTGTGGGATAGCCGGGTAGCTTGTCGAAAAACTTAAGTCCACAGAGTTGTTGTTGTTTCCCTGTTTGTGACGACGAGAATTCATAAACCACTTGCGAGGGATGGGCGGTGAGAGTCGTGGTGAGGCATATCTTGAATTTTGTTTTTCTTTTCCTACACTTTCCGTCCATCGGCCTCCATTCGTCTCACAATCTGGGTATCGTGCTTCTTGTTGGCTTGACAAAGGAGACGTGATGACCCTAGTTTTGTGCGTCGTGCCTCTCGGGAACTCCGCTTCACTGCTGTGCCAAAACACACAACACACATCCGCCCCCTTTCTCCACGCGACAGAACTAAGACCCAAAGCCGCTAAACGCCCCATGTCACGTCAAGAAATGTGCGTACGACCACCACCACCACCGCCACCACCGGTCTGTGATGAAATTACACATTACATCCACCAGTGCCCATGTATGTACGTGCGGTCGTAGTACCCGCGCTTATTTTCCCGGCTGTCTGTGATGCTCATACACGTTAAATCTACTCGTGCTCATGTACGTACATGTGCGCTTTCTTTAACACGCACGCTCTTTCCCTGCCCGCCATTTTCGTTCTTGCTGTATACAGGCGACGGCCGAGATGACCGTAGAGGAGACGAAGAGGAGCACGTTCGGCCGCAACAGCCTCGGCCGCAAGCTCCGCGGCATGAAGCGCATCATGGGCAAGAAGTCCACCCCGCCGACCAGCCCCACCGGCAGCAGCGGCACGGCCGCCAGCGGCGGCCGCAGCCCCGGCGGCGTCGGCGGCAGCGGCGGCGGCGGCGGCGGGTTCCTTAAGGTCGGCGGCGGCGTCGGCGGCTACGCCTCCTCCCTCACACGCTCCCCTACCGGCAGCGCCAGCGGGGACATCGGGTCGGCGGCGGGGAGCAACGACAGGGGAGCGCACGCCAAGGGGAAGGCTTTCCTGGAGGAGGTTGGCGGGGCGGGTGGTGGGGACGCGAGCCCGCACCCGACGGCGACCCCCTCCTCCGAGACCGGCACCAGCGGGAACGCCAGCCCGTCGAGCCACGAGGGCGGCGCCGGCGGCGGTAGTAGCGCTACGGGTGGGGTCTCCCAGACGACGACGGGTTCTTCGTCCTTCAACGCCGCATGAGTTTTGATCGCTCTCGGCTCTGCGTGCGTGGTGAGCGGTGGCACGGGGCGGAGCAGCGGCCGTTTGTGGGTGTGACGATGATGAAAGCCGGAGTGGCGGTGGTGATGTTAGCGCCTGCGTTCGTTTTTGCCGTCGTTTTCAGCCACAGCGCGTAGTGTGTGTCCTGCCTATTCGTCGAAGACTATTTTTTATATATATATATATAAACTGCGGCGCTGTTGGGCGCCTCCTGCCGTGTGCGTCCCAATCCGTTGTAGTCGTCCTCGTTTTCAACCACACTGCGTAGTAAAGTAAAGTAAACCATTACATCTGTCCGAGACCATTACTATTTTGTTTATTCTTTTATGAAACCAAGAGGCAAAGTACTAAAGTAGGTCACATGCTGCTGCGGTAGTTTTTTTTTTATGGTGATTTGGGCGTTGGAAGGGTGAGTAGGTTGGTTGGGTGGCCGCCTTCTGGGCTGTGTCGGTGGTTCCCGTGTGCTGCAGTGCATTACCTCGCTTGTGTACGATTTTCGTCGGTGGCAGCGAACTCCGAAAGCCCCTTTGACACTTCAGAGATGACGATGCCGCAGCGATGAATGGGCGCACGGGGGGGGGAGGGAGGGGTGCTGGTTGCCCCCCTCTGCTGGATGGAGGAGGCCGGACTGGGGCAAAGGGCAGCATATCCTATCCTACTTGTCGAATTCTGTTTTGTCATCGTTTCTGTCTCTCGTCGCTTGTTTCATGTGTCTTGTCCGTGGGTGTTCATGCTCCTTTGCGGAGGCACAGATATCCGGCGAGAATGTTCTCTGGAAGCTTTCGTCATTTGTTTGCGTTCGTTTTTCGTTTTTGCCTTGCTTGTTGTGGGGTGGGTGGGAAAGAGGAGAGAGCAGAAAATACGTGCCACCCCTCTTTTGGCATGTCACGGGGCCTCGTTTTTTTTTTTTTCTGCATCCCCGCCCGCTTACGTGATTCGGCGAAGGTAGAAGGGAAAAGAGCGAGATCGGTAGCAACCAACATGCCGGAGGATTGAACGAACAATTGCAACCTCTTATTTTCCTTCTTCTACCGTAGTTTAGAGCTGAAATACGCACAAGTGGTCTCAGGGTCACGGGCTAGGCTGAGCTGGGTGTTGTCTAGACGGCGAGGAATCGAAAGTGCGCGGGGGCGGAATATGACACGAGAAATTTTGTCATGCCGTGAGCACAAAAGGTTTTGGCGAACGGGGGCAGGGTTGCGTATCGACAACGAGGGTTTTGCTGTATCCCATGCGCGACAATGTTGGGGCAGCCGGGGGGGTGGGGGAGGGGGCGGAATGGTCTCACGCATGGAATCGATTAGGTTACGCATTCTTGGCACGACGCCGTTTTTTATCCCCTTGTTTGTTCGATGGTCAAAATGAAACAAGGGACACAACCTCCCGATACTTGTTTGGTCGGAAATGCCGCCATTTTTCAGATATAAATGCATACGAAGTACTTGTTGCTCTTCTTCACGTGCTCTTTCGTAGGGGGGGGGAGGGGGGGGGGGGGGGGGGGAAAAATTTTCCGGGGGGGGACCCCCGTCCTTTTTTTCCCACC